AGCGAGCCTTGACGGGGGGTGCTAGTGGAGCACGCGCGTGAACTGCGAGCGCCGGAGCCTCGCAGCGGCGAAACTGAGGCTCCGTGGTAAACTGTGGTAACATGAAGAGCCGTTTAGGAGCCGGCTCTTCTTAGTGAGCCGAGCCAAATGATCTGGAATTCCCATCACTAATACGTAAAGAGATAGTATCTATAAGGGACGGCTCAATTCAAAATTCAAGTCACGTGACACGACGTGACACGACGTGACACGACGTGACACGACGTGACACGACGTGACGTCCGCTCTCGGGGTGGACGCCCTCTCAGCCCTGGTCTGGCGGAAACACTGAACAGTAGCCATTAAAAATAAACAGACAATTCAAGAAAATTATCTTAACTTCATCTTTGATATTTTAACAACACCACGTGATATCTGAGTTGTTTGTGTACTTGTGAGTCCCCTGGTTATCTCTCAGTCCTGGTACAACAGTGAGTGACTGATGCTGCTGCCAGCAGTCTTATGATAAACAAAGGGAAACAGTGTGAAGTAAACCAAACACAAACACACACCATAGTTCTGTCAGTAAACAGGCAGCTACGTAGCAGAAACACTACCACGCGCTAATATTGTGGAAGGTGGAATAATTAGTATAAGAATGTTCCTTATGTATGTTACAGGCCAAAACTAAATCGTCCCGCATTATACTCCAACACAATTCTTAATTAATTGTACCAGAAGACAAGAGAATAATGTAATTTCAGATTACATACACAAGCATTTGTCAAAGGTTAGGTGACATTCAGGTGTCCTTGGCCAGAGGTGACCAGTCCAATGTATGTATGTATGTATGTCTATGGTTTGGTTTAATAAACTAAACAACCAACAAAATAAATACATTTCCTGATTAGCCTGCAGAAGTGCCCTTATTATCAGCTTTCCTCACAGACACAATACAATAGATCCATGTGAAAAACCAAAAAGAAAACAGATGAAACATCCATGCAGCAGGCTAGCGCTGCCTGGCACCGTTTTATCAACTCTCAACTGGGGCGGGTAATGAGGGCTGAAAAATGATCTGATATACAACTGCTGAGTTTGTCATCGTCTCTCTAAAGAAGGGCCGACGTCTAACCTCAAATAAACTAAAGCAGAGAATCTCTGAACATATCAAATTGTCATGAAATTAAATGTGGAATATGTTCCTGAGCCCACACTATACAATGCCTAGCCTGACACTCTAACCGGTTCCATCCTGCCTGAATGACCACAAAAACATTTTCCAAAGAAATCTGCTCTCTGTCCCTGAACATGAAACCAGCTGAACAGCACTGAGCAGACCACAACAAGGTCAGTGCGCTGCTGGGTCTGCTGCTGAACACAGGGCAACGTAAAGCAGTGGTTTATAAGCACTGGGCGGTAAACCAAACGTGGGTCGCACAGAGATAAAAATAGGTCCCCGAAAAGATCAGATGAAAGGAGAACCTAATGCTACTGACAACTATATACAGACATCAATGCCATCTGTCTGAATAAAGGCTGAATGACACACTGAAGGGTGCAAATCACAGAATGTTTTTTTTAGCTAACTCCTTGATGGAGCTTGAGGCAGAGGTCAATGATCTCACTTTACTCAGATGTCTGTGCCTACATGTAAGGCCCCGGCTCCACAGGAACGCATACGGCAAAACGCATCGGAGTAACGCAAACGCAACCGCAAAAAACCTTCCGCCCACACGCAATATACACCGGATTGTGTCAAGCTCCACGAGACGGCTCCGTTTACATCCAACCGCTGGAAAAGCTGCAGTACATATGCCGAGCCTGTACGTGGCGCTGTAACTTCCTCCACAAAAGCAGCAACTTCCTCCACAAAAGCAGCGAAGAAGAATGGTTGTCATGGCTGCACTTCTGTTTATTCTCCGCGGTGGGGGCCGAGGGATCCGGGCAGAGTTTTTCGCCGGTCAGCGTGTGTTAAAGTTTAAATCTTCCGGACAAAATTATAAAAGTGCCGGTCAAAGGTCTTCTTTGTTATTTATTGAGCTTTAAAACAAATTAATAACGACGATATAATGATATATAATAATAAAATACACGGAGCCTGTCTCTTTTTCCTCTCTTCTCACAGCGTCAGTGTCTGTCTCATGCAGCAGCTGATCCAGTAATGATGACTCGACAGTAAAAATAAACATATTTATAACTAGTTTAGGTAGTTTGAGAGGTAATTAAAATAGCTAAGGGTGATGATCTGACTTGAAGTGTGTGTTTTGCTCCCGCTGCATCACAGCGGGAGCAGCTGCGTGTCTCCGACCTGTCAGATTAGACTTCACTCACGTTTATGTCCATATCGAGATAAAGATAAATAATCTGAATTCAGTGTGCAGTGTACTTTTGCGGGGGTGAGCAGCAGAGGCGGGGAGAGGCGGGGCTATTGCGTCATCATTATCAGAAACGGATGACCGTATAGGCTACCACACGGCCCCGTTGGACCCCCCAGAGCGCTCCGTTCCCAGATCTATCTACCTTTGGACCCGTTGTCGTTTGCAGGGTCTGTTTCTACGTTTCCGTTACGGCGTCGTCGAGCTTAAAGGGCTATACGCATGAGAAATATGCGGATTCAACCCGTTTTCGTTCCCGTGGAGCCTAGGCCTAAGTCTGTCTTAATGTTTTAACAAGGTGGAAAATGAGGGTGTCCGTTTCTTCTGTTTTTCTAGAAATAACTCCTATTGTTCTGGATAGATAAGGCAGGGAATCTTTTATGACTTTATGCTTTGAAAAACATGATAGCAAAAAACCGTTGCTGATTACTCTCATAAGTGTTTAGGGCGTAAGATGCTTACTCTCCATGGACAAAGTAAATTACCAGGCTTATTTAGCTGCAAGTGTTACAAGTGTACATTTTCATTAAAGCAACACAATTACAGGATAAACCATTTAAGAGAAATGTGCTTATTGTGTGATATTCACACCAACAAAGGAAAGAAAGCTCAGACTGAGACAAGATAAGTGATAACAAAGGAAGAGAGACACAGCTACTCTTTCTTATGATCAATCCGTTTTACACTGACAGTTCTCTACTATTCTTAGAAGCTATGTGTAGCTGCTCTTCTGCCTGGCACACTGTCAAAGAGTGACTTCATTACACATTCAATTCTCTAGTGATTTGTACTTCCAGTAAAAAACATGACGTATGCTTGCTCAATAGCCATGTCTAGCAGGATTAAACTCTTGTGGTGCACACATCAGCTCAAGCTATGGAAGTTCGGAATTCATTCTTTGAATAATTGCAAATCAATATATTCCAACAGGAAATTACTGCAAATGTCCTGGTCAGATTAATATAAGGGTTCTAGGGTGTGAATCACATCGGAGATAAAGGAACTCCATTGTGAGCTTACTGTGGTACTGCGAGTACTGTGTGCTTTGTGCACGACTTGATTTTACTACAGATCACAGATACATACATAGATATGCCTGTATATAAAAACGGATGCATGGATCTGCTTTGCATCCCTATGTGAGTTTAGACAAAGAAGTGCAGTGGTGTTCACAGGTGCAATTTAAGAATAACAGCAACCGGGCAAATGTAATTTATTTTATTTATCAAAGTCTAGTTCAAAATGTCTTCTTTAAGTATAGGAGTTAAAACGTGGCTGATCAATAAAATAACCATGGGTCTGGGAGTGTTTTTGTACATATAAAGTTTGGGTTCTAGACAAATAGGCTATCAGCTACCCAGCCCATGAAATATTTATGAGATGACTTCATGCTTTATTGCAAACTGAACAGAAGAACACTGAAATGGGATGGGCATACACATAGTACTGCTTCTCATTTTTCTATTTTCTAATATTGCAGAAAACATATATATATATATATATATACCAAAATAGTTAATATTGTCTGGTTAACAATACAAATAATTCTAGGAACTATTAAAAAAACTCAATGATGAAAAACACTTTGGTTTGACTGTATGCAATCCTCGTTAAAACCGGAATTTCATAAACCATACAGACCGGTCTGGAAGTCAACAACAGGAAAATCAACTTACTATCTTACATAAGAACATATTAGTTTATGAAATAAATACTGGATATGTTCCAAAAAGGTTATTTTATTATGTTCAGAAATCAAAAACAACAAAGCAATAAGCCAAATAATAAACATGTATTTGGAACGCTGAGCCAGCAGGAACAGGACTGACAAAGAATACATTTGCATTTCCAGCACCTACTTGCATCTTGTTCTTAATAAGATAATACGGGATTTCTGGACCATTCACAATACCATGACCATTGAAATACGTTGAAGTGCGCAGTTAAAGAGCAAAATGCGCCACTCACCAACGCAAACTCCGACACAGAGAGAGAGTAGACCGGAGTCAACACAGGCGAGCAGCGAGACAAAGAAACCCAAACTCCAGCCAGACTAACAGTTCATGTTTACAGCGACAGTTCGTACTTTAATCACCCATACAAAGGAGGCGATTTTCTATATTTTTACCCAGAAAAACAGTTTAACCTTACATTTGACCTAAGCTGCGTCGTCAAAGATAAAAAAGGATGCAGCCTGCAGCCCATCGGCAGGCTATGGTGATGGTTTGTTTACACCGAGCTAGGGAGCAGGCTATTCCGCTAACAAGAGCTGCCACATCCCAAAGAAGCCAGATAACTATTTACCAGATAACTATTTACCAGAGCCTGTGTTGATTTTGACAGCTTACCACATCGACCTATCTGCCTTTAAATATACCAATTATATATATATTACATGTGGGGGATAACGCCTCGTAAAGAGAGCGCAAAGAAGTGCATTCTTGCTGGCTAGCAGATTATGCTCCTCTCTGTTGTTTTGACAGCCAGAATTAGCTGGATAGCAAAGCTGCTAGCTGGCAGGTTGCATTCAGAGAGGCGCTAACGTAACGCAGGGAAAGTATTGGGTGAATTCAACAGTCGAAAAACAAGCTAGAACAACAATAAAAACAACCAACAGTGGACAGTGTCCGTCGTATTATTCACCTGGTGCCGATGTCTGGAGATGAATCCGTCCTCTGGGTAATGTGACACAGATATTGTAGACTTGTAGTCGCAGCTCTGCTCCTCTGTTCACTGAACGCTTTTCTGACTGTCGCTAGACTAAACTGGACTCAGCGACGTCGGAGGGAGGCAATCACTGTGTGACGACACTCGCATGAGGGACAGAGAGCCAATCACATCTCTCAAAAAAACTAAACACCAACCAATGAGGACCAGGAACAGGAAGAGGCTGGAAATGTGGTACGATGTTGTAGTTTTTACCGAATTTGATATAAAATTGTGTAAACAAGTTAATATAGCAACATGTATTGGATGGAACAAATAGATATGAGGGGTTATGAAATATGATGGGGACTGTGTCACAATCCATTTAATATGGTGTTTTATGTGTGTAGCCAGCAGCAGTCATTCAGAAAGAAACGTGTCTGGGAGGCAACTGCCATGTGGACGACATTGCAACAGCCAGAGACTACCAGACAAGAATTAATATGACCACCACGTGATGTCTTCAAATTGCTTTGCTTTGGCAAAAACATATAGTCCAAAACATAGAGATCTGTCAATTTATAATGTAAAGAAACTACAATCCACAGCCATTTAAAAAGCTGAAATGAGCAAAGATGGCTTGACACACAACTTCAACGATTGATTATAAAATTGTTGATCATTGATTTAATTGTTCCAGCATTAATATACATGTTTCTTTTATGATGTCATCTAAAACAACAAGTGATTCTGTAGTTGTACTACTAACATATTATATAATATTATATATTCATAAGTAAGTCTAGCAGATCGGTCATAAATCCTCACCATGTGATAAGCAGCTACAGTAAACAGGATGAATAAAACATGTGCAGGTGGTGCTCTGGGTCAACTCCACCACCATATGGGAGGTGCAGTGGGATAAAATGGCTTCACACCACTATCAGATCACCTGCTCTCTGCCCTGTCTGCTCCCTCCCTGTACATATCCATGGGTGAACCATGCCAGAACACACACACACATAGACACACACACACACACACACACACACACACACACACACACACACACACACACACACACACACACAAGTTAACTCTGATTGCATGATTGTGTACATTGATTTATTGTGATGCAAGGCTGTGGCAGCTGGGTGACAGCAGTTTCATTGGTCTGGTTCATCAGGTTTAAACACTAACCACGCTCAATAACTTTTTCAACACATAGAGTATGTTTCTTTTGTTTTCAGGGCAGAGGAGGCCTCAGAAATACCTTTTGGAAGAGGTGGCCTCTAACAAATGTGAAAACCCAGCTGCCATTGGTGTGCTGAAGCAGATAGTGGTATCTCTGCTGAGACAGTGTGTGACGTTATGTCAGTACTTTGACCCGATTATTGTTGTGTGTGTTCCTGGGGAAATAGGTTTATCTTATCGTACCATACCTCATTGAAAACTCGTAAATGATGAGTGCACATTTGTATTTAATGTGATCTACAAGGACAGTGTAAGGGTTTAACTGTACTCTGCGATATCAAAAAACAAGATAACAAATTAGTTTAAATAAAGTTATATAATAAGATACAAGAACTGCATGTGACTGCCCCACTATTTCTACACATTGTCAAAGTGTACCAAGCTGTACAGTATTTTCTATTCACGACAGCTTCTCATTCACTTATAATGTGTTAAAAATGATTTGGTACATGCTCATTAATTACTCAACGCACAGTTTTATTGACTCAACCAGTGTTTTTTCAGGTTATCGGTTGAACTGGCTGGCCGGCATAGAGTTTGTTTAAAAAGTCCACCCTAAAGGTTCACATTTAAATATATAAAGTGATGTGTTTCTAGAGTTCTGTGACAAGGCACATTGTGTCTTAGATGGTTTGGTTAAAAAGATCTTCTCTGAAGTCACAGCATACAAAGTGGATGCTCTTTTTGAGGAATTTGTTTCAGTTATCCTTATTTCTCCTGGTAACAGCAGATAATACTGAATGACAACCTGTTTGCCAGCATCATGGTCATTTTTATTTCTCAGTCTGATTCAAAGTTAAAAAATGTCATCTAATTGCATCATCCAAGTTAATATTCTGTTTCATCTAAGATTTAAATAAGTGTAGAGTTTGAGAGTGACATTGATTGCAGATTCTGAATCATATTATTTGTTATTACAGCCAGCACATGATCCGATATGCTTCTCAACATCTGGAGACTCTGCTCATACCAAGGACCTTCAGCTCCACAGTGAATATTCAACATGCATTGGCATTGCGAATGTCAGCGTATTGCAGCGTGTTTGCATAACCTGGATTTCTGATTGCACCATGTACACATTGCTCACCCAGCATTTCAATGTTCCTTTGTTGCTCCATCTGTGCGTCTATGGGAGCATATGTGCAGACATCTTCCTGGGGGAATGTGGTCATCTAACTGGAGCTTCAAAGCAGAATCGGCTGCTTTATGGATAATTTAAAACTCAGTTAAAGAAATGGTAACCATGCACAGTTCAATGTGTCTACAAACATAGTGTGTCAAATATGTGTGATGCTTTCTATCTATACACAACATCGGAGGTGTAGTTCAAACACACAGAGGAAAAAACATTTAAATATATACAATGAAAAATTAAGAATAACCATAGATAAATATGGTAACACATCACTCCTCTTGCTCTAACATCATTCTTTCCAATATACCTTCCATTAGTTGTCAAGGGTGTGTGTTGGTGTTGTGTGTTGCTGGGATAAGCAAGCTCCACAAGTCAGCAGGTAGACCACACCTGACATCAGGCAAAACAAGTCCCAATTTAATACAAAGATCCCACATATGGTCACCAACACCCTGATTTCATACACACACGCAACCACACAAACACACCACTCAAACAGGGCGTGACAGAAGAGAAGTGAACAGGCTACTTATGACCACGTTCCCCCAGGAAGATGTCTTCACATATGCTCCCATATACGCACAGATAGAGCAACAAACCACACCTCGTTCTCTCTTTCACAGGTCATGGAAATGTTTGGCTGTCACAGAGACAAGAAAATAATTCTTAGTTAATATTAATAATACGGTCCAGGAAATGGTTTATTGCTTAAAAACAAGAATATCTTTTCATTCATTGGTGCTCAGTGTTGACTTTGCATGTATTCACCTGCTGCATGTAATGATTCAGAAATGATGCTAAACTTTTCATGAAGCCTGGAGTGACTCTTTGCATATTTGGTGTCACTGTTCATTTTTAATAACCTTTTCTAGTCGCTGCTCTGAATTCCCTAAAGCGGTTTGATGTGAGCACCATTAATGGATTTCGTTCGCAGATGAAGATGATGGTTAACCCTCCTGTTATCCTCAGATTGACTTTACACCCTGTATCCCCTGGGGTCAATTTGACCCCAGTAGTTTCAAACTCAAGACAATGATCATATTCCAAATTGTCTCTGGTGCTTTAGGTATCTTAGTTGACTACCTAAATAACCTTTTAAATAAAACATTACCCCAACCTTCCCCCCTACAGACCCCTTATACATCCAGAATTCATATTATGTGACTATCGAAAAGTATATAAATCACCATAAAATCTCACTGACTGAAATAAAATGTTAAAGTAAGATCTTTTTGATTTTGTTAAAGGACCAATAACTAAAGCAGAGGGTAGGTTTTTTTTACAATGATACATTTGCATGTAATTGTCACCTCAATATCATCCTACACAATCAACACAAAATATGTGTAAAATATTGACATTTTTATATGTTTTATAGGCTACTAAAACAGCCTGGGGTCAAATTGACCCCAAGGAACACCGATACTTACAAAGTGCGTACAGGACATTTAAAAAAGATCTTCATGTTCATTTGATGTTTACCCATTAGTCCTCACTAAATTAGGAAAAGTCATGAAATACTAAGCAAAAAAAAAACGTGAACCATTTTTTTAGATACGTTAAACATTGAATGGGGTCAAATTGACCCTATGTGTCCCAGCTGCCTTTAAGCATGCCGTGGTGCAGCCACTACTTAAAAATAAAAATCTCGATCCCTCCATTCTCGCAAATTTTAGGCCCATCTCACAGCTACCTTTTTTATCTAAAGCCCTGGAGCGAGTAGTCTACGCCCAGCTGCAGTCGTTCTTAACCACGCATGGAATCCATGAAAAGTTTCAGTCTGGCTTTAAACCCATGCACAGCACTGAAACAGCCCTTTTAAGAGTTTTTAATGATCTGCTCCTAGCCGCCGACTCAGGTAGCCCAGCTGTCTTGGTGCGGTTAGACCTGACAGCTGCCTTCGACACTGTGGACCATAGCATCCTGCTGTCACGGCTTGAACAGTCCGCTGGCATCACAGGCTCTGCCCTTGCTTGGTTCAGGTCCTATTTGACAGACCGTAGCTTCTCAGTGCAGCTAGGTGCCTTCTCCTCTGCCAAAGCCCCTCTTACTTGTGGGGTTCCCCAAGGTTCGATCCTGGGCCCCATCCTTTTTCTACTGTACATAGTGCCCCTAGGTTCAATTCTCACTAAACACAATATCCCCTTCCATTGTTATGCCGACGATGTACAGATCTATCTGCCTCTCAATCAAAATGCCAACTCACTACAGCTATTGATTAACAGAGATCAAATCCTGGCTGAGCCAAAACTTCCTCAACCTCAACGAGAGCAAGACTGAGGTCATCTTTTTTGGACCCCAACCTCCAGCCTCTCCGGTTGATATTCTGGGCTCCCTCAATAAAAACATCCTCTCCTCTGTCATGAACCTTGGAGTGACCTTCACTAGCACTTTTAAATTCGACAAGCAGGTCAGCACCGTAGTCAAATCCTGCTTTTTTTAAATACGACTGTTGGCTAAGACCAAGTCGTTTTTATCTTTTAAAGACCTAGAAAGGGTTATAAACGCCTTTGTTACCTCGAGACTGGATTACTGCAACGCTCTGTATGTGGGTATGGACCAGGCGTCAATTAGACGCCTGCAGCTAGTTCAGAACGCAGCTGCACGTCTACTCACTGGCCATAAGAAGCGTGACCACATCACCCCAATTCTGGCCTCATTGCACTGGCTTCCAATTCGGTTCAGAATAGATTTTAAACTCCTTTTATTTGTTTTTAAAGCACTAAATGGGCTGGCTCCGGCCTATATAGCTGAACTCCTCCATCGCTACACCCCAGCCAGAGCTTTAAGTTCTGCTGACCAGCTGCTGTTGATAGTGCCTAAGACCAGCCTATCCGTTTTATTGGTACGCTTACGACCTTCCTTTTTGATAAAGCTTATAGCTGATATAATAATCTAATAAGACTGCATTGACGTAGATACGCTGTGCATCTTTACCTATATTTGGGTCCTTGCTCTTTCACTTAAATCCTAAAAACTTGGATCGTATATTGAAAAATAAGGTTATTACTACTACTCATTCTTCTAAATCTTGTCTCTCTCTACTTCTCATACTCTCTACTCCTGTAATCGATTCTTTCTATCCTCTCTTTATCCAAAACCTTTTCCCTCTCTAACCTCTCAAGGTTTTATTAGAGGGAAACAGGTTTGCAGAGTGGCTTAGGCAGGCCGGGGAGTGTTATGATTAGTAGACACAGTGTACCTCCCTATCTCTCACCAATTTCTTAGTTCCCTGCGTGTGCCTCTCCACCTTTGTTTCTTACTCTCTTACTTGCTACCCTTTTCCCTTAACCTATCCTAAGGGAGTGCTTGTTCTTCCTTCTGTCTGTCTGTGTCTGTGTATTCTCATGTTCCGATTAACCCAGCCAACATTTTTCTTCTTTTGTGTCTATATCGACGCCGGGATCCCGAATCGAGGCTGATCCTCTTGCTGTGGTCCTGTGCCCTGGATCATCTATCCTGAGTTCTGGATTAAGTCGTGGACTTCGGGTCGTGGCTGGGCCTGTCTCTGCGGTCCTGCCTGGGTCTCGTCATGCTGCTTCCCTGATGGCTCCCACAGGATTGTTGTTGACATCCTCGTGGATTCATCTTCTTATTATAGACACATGCATTTCCAAACATTCGGTCTACCTACCTACGCTGTAAAACGTATTATCTCTTCGATTTAAACACGGCATCTATTGCACGTCTGTCCGTCCTGGGAGAGGGATCCCTCCTCTGTTGCTCTCCCTGAGGTTTCTCCCATTTTTCCCTTTGAAATGTGGGTTTTTCTCCGGAAGTTTTTCCTTGTACGATGTGAGGGTCGAAGGACAGAGGGTGTCGTTTTTTCTCATACTGATATTCTGAACAAACTGTGCTGTTGTATTTGCTGTAAAGTGTCTTTAGGGTATTTTTTATTATATGTACAGCACTTTGGCTCGACCAAAAATCGTTTATAAATGTGCTATATAAATAAAACTTGATTTGATTTGATTTGAAAGCCATTAACACTCTAAACATGTTGAAAACAGGATTATGGCATAAATAACAACTATTTGCATCCTCTTTGATCTCTCCAGAGAGAGGGTTAATAAAGTGTAAAATATATTTATCAGCATGAATAAAGTGATGTGAGTCTTCAACTTTGAACTCTCAGTACATTTACTGAATCTACAGCATCATCCCAAGAATTACAGAATTGAGAAGAATTATTCTGGTTTACTGGAACTGAGCAGTCCATTCTGCTCCAGTCGCAGCTTGTATATATATACATATATATATATATATATATATGGATGAATGACCTTACACATCAGTGGCTGAGCATCAGGGATAGACTGGCTCTTTGAGCTCTGTGTGTGTTTCCAAGAAGACAGAAAAGGAAAAGAAAAAAAAGGGAGATGCTTGACCCCAATGACATCCTAACATATTTGCACTCAAGGGTTCTTCTGGGGCAACATCCAGTCTATTGTAGATGTTGTTGTTTCCCCCTGCTGGACCCAGAGGGAGCTGCTCCTCTCCTGCTAACATATGGGAGAGCAGGCTGTGGAGGAATTACTGCTCATTGCTCAATGCCAAAGAACCGCACGGAAATCAGAAAAGATGTCGTCTAGCAGTAATTTAGTCCAACTGCAAAATGGCCAATTCATGCCACTAAGCAGCTTTGGATCACTATAAAGCAGCTGGCAGAACACACAGGAGTCCTGCAGGTAAGACCAGGGGTCGGATCAGGACTCTTCCTGAAGCTCTACTGGGGTCTCAGGCTGGTTTGCGCACAGATGCACTCACACTTTCGGCCTTTAAAACAGACCTGCGGCTACATTTGTGGTCCCACTCGGCTGCTTAGCTGAGAGTAAACGCTGTAAAAAGAAAGATGAGAGAATATTTATAATGAAGTCTAAGCTGCAGGACAACTCATTTCATCAAACACCTGAAGAGACAAGTCCAACTTCAAGGTGATGGAGGGGGCTGAATGGAAATGTATTTGTATTATTGCGTTGCTTCCTTAGGGCTAAATGTAAGAACTGAGAAGTGGATGTTGTCCCCTTCAAAAAATTATGTTTTTTTGTTTGTTCCTGAGAATGATGCCAAATGTACAAGATCGACTTAAGGCACCAAAGCTGCAGACAGAGTGATGGTGAAATCAGCGCCAACATCCTCAGTCCTCCATCTGCACAGGAACAGACATAAAAACTCAATCATAACCATGAGAAAAACATGGGAACATTCTCGAAAAAGAGCAAGAAATGGCGCTGTGAAGGAAAGATAACATTACCTTTGTTTTAGAGGTGAGCACAATGAAATTAGCAGCATCGCGCAGCAGATGGCTGTCAGGTGACAAGGACTAGAGACACCACCGGGATGCACTGTCCCTCGACACAAAGACAAAAACAACAATCACACAGACAGAGACAGTACCACAGGTCATCATGCCGCTCTGCTCAGTTGTCTAATCCAATTATAAGCAGCTAAAAGTCATGGGATTGTTGGTCTCAGTCAGTACACACCTGTGTAACCATGACTGTGTGCTACACATTTCATCACTGTAGATTTAGGATGTGGCAGTGCTTTTCGTTGCTACATTTGATGTCATGCTGTGATGCAATACAATTATGAGGCCATTCATCAAAATCAGTTAAGGGTTGTTTGTAAAAGCCAGTTCTGTACAATTGTCATCTCATCATATTGTAGTACAAACATAATGCATGTTACTATACAAACCACCATAACAGACATTAAGCCAGTGCTTCAGACTAGAATGACTTAGTCCAATTATTTTAATGTGACATTTATCATTTTGGCATAGTTGTTGTGAATGGCACTACTGTACGACTTTTCCTTTTAGCAACTGCAGCATCATTTCCCCAAACACCCTGGAAATGACAAAGACGTGTCTGTCGTTTGTCAAAAACGCCGGCGGGGATCAGACTTTTCCAAAAGAACTGCAGCAGACTCAAGAACAGCACAAAGCTTTGTTTTTGAAGACTAGTTTATCAAAAGAATACACAATAATACTCAGGTATAAAACATAGAAAACAGAAAATGAAACACAATAATAAAATATACCTTCTTCTCTGATCGACTACTTGTTTAAAAGTAGTAATAAATTGCAGTCTTTCTGTTTGTCCACGTTCACACATTCATTTCCCACAGCATGTTCAGTCCTCTTCAGTCCACCCTGTCATCTTCATGGTTGCTATTGATTGGATTAGATTATACACTTAAAATATTCTTGCAAAATTCATGGTAATACAGAATTATAAAATGTTAGTCGACCCCACAGGGCTTTTTGTTGACAAGTTGCATAACAACATGAGATGAACAGGTCCACTGGCAGTGTCTCTTAGTGCGGTTCATTAAGGCAGAGAGAGCATTCATCTCACTGATGGAGGCCTCGCTCTATTCACTGTCAGATGAAGGACGCCGTTGTTTAAATGTTCGTGGAGCCAAGATGGCTGCAACCAGCGAGCCTCATCACCTGCGCAGACACACGGCCAGGTCACAGCTGCTGGAGATCTGCTCCAACATGTGTCTCCTGGAGGATTAAGTGTTTTGTTGACAAATCATCATAAAGTCCTTCTCATTGTACTTGAACCTTTTCCCTTTCCCCTCTATGCCCTCCTTTCGTGTCAGTCTGGACATTTCGGGTGTCCTCTGTGAGCACGTTTCCCACACATCAGCACACCTCACGTCTGCAGGAAGTTCTCTTGCAGGGTTCAAGTTCCAAGAAAGACACAGGGACACTGCTCAGCCCTCACATGGCTTCAAACTCCAAGAGGACTTTGATGAACCAGTGAGTTGTATGGCTCCAAAGTGTGCCTGCAGTCTGTTTGAGTCTCTTTAAATAACAATCAGAGTTGTATATTCATTTATTATTTATTAATATATTTATTTCATCTTTTATCACACTGGTCATAGGTGTCCATTTGTCCTTTATATCCTTCATCCATTTAGTCCTTCTTTTCTTTCCTCCTTCCTTCCGGGTTGTGATCAGGATATTATGCAGGGGGAATCTCAGTTGATCAAATCAAAAGTTGTTTCCTCCTTTTGTCCACCTCTCCATCTTTACCCATCCACTGTATCTATGCATCATTGTGCTACTCAGACACACAGCTGGCTTTCCTCTAGATGTAACACAGCAGGTGACATAAATAGAGCAGGGTCAAAAAAATGGATCTTAAGTCTTAACTTATCCTGAACAAAACCCTGAACATTCAGACTTCCTTTCCCCCCCCCCCCCCCCCCCATCCGCTTGTGTGCTATTTACACACAAACTGGTCTACGAGGGTGGAGCAGCGCTTGCACTTGACGTAGCAGCACCAGTGGAACTTGCAGTGGCAGCGCTCGTGCTTGTAGATCTTGAACTGGTCGTACCCTCGGCCGCAGCACATGAGTTCGCAGCCGTCCATGCCCTCCGAGGTCTTGTTGCAGAGGCGGCCCTGCGTGCCCAGGGACCCCGTGGTCTCGTTGCGGAGGCAGTAGTCCGGGCTGGGGTCCGTGTAGACCAGATCCTCCGGGCCGGGGGGGTTGAAGCGCTTCTCTACCAGCTCCAGCTTGCCCTGTTGGAAGTGGAAAGAGACAGCTTGTGTGAGGTTTGGGATGATTCTTTCAGGGTCTTGTTCGTGACTCTCCCTCTGCTGTGTGTGATGTGTGTACCTTGCGTCCAATGCGCATGGCCGCCGCGCTGTCATACTTCTCCTTCAGGAACTCGCCCACACTCCTGAAGTCGGCCAGCTGGAGCCAGCAGGTCTTCAGACTGCAGGACCCCGAGACCCCGTGGCACTTACAGGCCACGTTGGCAAGGTTATAGGCCGCCTGGGGAGGGGAGAGAAAAGGACAAGATGTTAGATACGTTTCTTTACATCTGATTAAATCACTGTCTTTCATATTCCTACTATACAGATCCAAGTGAGATGTCCGTGCTCCAGGTCTAACATGCTGGAGATTCAGAAAGAGACATTTCAGCGGGGGTTTCAGCTTGTTAAAAAGCCACTTGTCCTGCCTCGATTTTGACTTCCTTGAATATCAAAAGATTGTTGTAAGGTAAAAATACAAAAGGCCACTGCCACTAAGAAAACTATGATTATGAAACACTCCATTTGTCCTCCATTGATATTTAATGGGATTATTTTAGGGATATCTGACTAAAAGACCGCTAGCTTTATTTCATCAACTGCAGGCTCAATATATCCTCAATGTTGCTCTTTTAAATCCACATTTTCTAGCACAGATATTATGTGTCACCTTTATAGAATGTAAGTTAACTGACACACACATTACATATTTACCAATGTCAGGACTTATTTTATATTTCTTCTTTTATTGTTATTTTATATATTTTTGATCAGTATTTCTTTTATTATTATTATATTTATTTGTATATATTATTATTTTATATATATGTATTTTCTTTTTGCATGGCAATGGTGATATGTATATAGTTTGTGTTTAGTATTGTTTTCATGTTTAGGAGTCTTATAGTTTTTAGGTAAGCACTAAACTTAAAGTGGACCTATCATGCTATATTTGAATAATATAGTGTACCTATATAAGGCATATTTATACTTTTTTTTCAAAATACCAAACAGATCATGCATTTTAGCCATGCCTCATTTTGCTCAATTTGCACTTTTTTTTATAGCTCTGCTCTGCAAGGGCTGATTCTGTGAGAACAGCACCACCTACAGGCCTGGCATATGTACTACAGCGTCTCCAGCGCTTTCGAACGGCAATGGCCGTGGCGGTCTCCTCCTGATTGGTGGAGTTGGCCCAATAGCCGTAGCGCCACCGTCCTGACGTCAGTAAAGTGTTCAAATCTGGATCATTCTGTATCAGATCCGTTGCAGCCCCTTTTTTAGAGATTTGGGTATGGAGGAAAATAGAGAGGGTTGTGTTTTCTGACACTTGGTGAGTTCCCTGGAACACCGGGGACACATATTCATGTATAAAAGACGTACAAAAGTGCATTTTGCATGATAGGTAGGGTGACCAGATGTCCCGCTTTGCGCGGGACTGCACAGCATTTTCACGACTTTTGGTGCGTCCCGCAAATTGAGACGATGTCCCGCATATTTCATTTTGATTGGCCAAAACGCTTTTCTGCGGAGAAAGGCTGGCTCGGTTCGCTGACGGCCGGCACCGCCCATTATTATATGTTTTAAACGGCATTATGTAAGTGTACCCAACCCCCCCCCCCCGTTGACAGTTCATGCGTCAACATTACATTTACATGTCCCACATTGTCCCACACAAACATACTCTCTGTCCCACTTGTGGCTTTCTGGCACCTGGTCACCCTAATGATAGGTCCCCTTTAAACTTGGATCACAGAAATGTATTTATGTTGCTTCTACGCTGCTGCTCTCTAGTGGTCAACCTGTGAAATCACTCTCAAGCACACTTTATTCATAGCCCAATATCACAAATGACACATGTCTCAGGGGGCTTTACAGTCTGAACTACATGACACCCTCAGTCAACAGACCACCTGCACCAAAAACCCCTAAAGAAACCCCACACTTAATGTGAAACAACTGAATACAACTTGTAGGGAGAGCAACAGAGGAGGATCCAATATGCAATCAATGTGCAATCCAAATGATAATATGAACGAATATAAAAGGAAGTGACATGGCTCCAGGTGGATACTAAGTAATGCAGAATAAATGTGATCACCAAACCCTGGAAAATCCAAGTACTTCCCGAAGATATAGATATCTTAACGCTTATATCGTTTTAAATATTGAAATGCAGCCTTTCACAATTGTTTAAGGCTACTGCTCCATCAATAAAAAGTAGAAGAAAAATGTGAATATTGTGTGAAAGGAGAGAGCCCATGTGTGCCAGCTGTGCACTTTTTCCATGCCCTGCTCCTCCAGGGACTTCCCTCCTAAATTAGCCTCTTACTGGAACACATGTAGAAATGTCCCTGTCTCCGGCTCTCTGTCACCACTGTGCGCTGATGCAAAACCCACTGCAGTTCAAATGTGAGGTCAAATACAGTAGATGACCTGACGTGAAAAGTGCAAAGCAAAGAAAAACAAAGAAAAGATTCTTTGCACCGCGGCTGTCAATACATCTCCACCAAACTAAAACAAACAGCTGACTGAGAATAGACGGGTTACTGCTA